CACACTACTCTGATCAACCAATGAGCATCAGAAGGAGCCTCCCAGATATTTATGCATCTGCTAAAGAGGGGAACCATGGAGGAGAGAGCAATTAGCAAGTTAATGAGTCATCCTCTGTTACACAAATTAGCTAATTGAATTTATTTAGGCAGAAGCAGCAGAACAGGTCCTGCCTCCATGTTTCAGCTACTGATTGTGGGACAATTACTTAAACTCTTAGAGCCATGGTTTTTGTATTTATAAAAAGGGATCTCAACCTTTGTCAGGCCAACCTCATTAATTTATTATGAGGAGCAGCTAAGATAATGTATGTACAATCACCATGGAAACTGTAAAGAATTTTTGAAATGGAAGGCCTCATTATTGACTTTGCCTAATACCAGAGATGAATAAATAAAACATTTTCCATGTCATATGTATTAAAGTTACGTGGCAAAAAGCCAGGCTCACCCTAGACTTTATAATAAGGAAACATTTCTAATCAAGACTTAAGCAAATAAAAATTAGGTCTTTAGAAGCATTTATTCTACTATGTAATTTTAAATGATTTTCTGTGCAGATGAAAATTAACCATAAGGTTAAAAAATGTGAGTTATTAGCAGTCGTCTTTGTTTTTATTTAAATTATTTTTGTTTTACAAATTTTATATAACTGTCAAATGTTCAGAAGTACTGGGAGAGACACCCTTTTTAAAAATGTACTTTTTAAGTTCTCCCTCTAGAAATTGGAAATGAAGAAAAAGCTTTTTATATTCAAGACTCCCTCCTATTACTGTCAATGGCAGTTAAGTGCATTTATGGAGACATGAGACAGCACAAACATTCTTCTGTAATTCATCAGAAGGCCCATCTTAAACATAATTACATTACACAGCTCTGCTCAGTCATTAGTTTCTTGTTTAGCGACAATGTCCTTCATTTAAAATTCTTTGATGGTAATTATCTGTAACTATGCCCTTGAATTCTGAAAGCACATGTACCGCAGCCCTAGTGAACAATGGGTATTTCTGGACTATGAAGCAATTAGTTTCCCATAAGAGATCATACAGGAAGTGGTTTGTAACAACACTGAAAATTCACAGGTTTCTGAGCTTGTTCTACAACCCAAAATGAGGTGTCTGGTTATGTATTTGTGTGTGCGCGCACATGCGCATAATAAAAAAAGGTCAAAGCAAGTTGTTAGTATAAGGCATAACTTTTTAAATCCTTAATTACCATGTCACATTTTAAAGTTTTATATGTTGCTTAAGTTAAGGCACATAAATTCCTACCATAGAATGACCTGGAAGTGAGATATTTTGGAGATATTTTTAGTTCTGCCAGTCTTCTTTGTGCATAAAAATGTCTTGTGTGCTTTATTTATTGAGTACCCATCTGTGCCAGGAACTGTTTAGGTGCAGAAAACACAAGTCCTGTGAGGGTCAGTGCCCTACAAAAGCTCACAGGCCAGTGGCAGAGGACACATAAGTAACCTGAGTAACATGACTATTTTCTGGCCTGTCACAGATAATGGACCACGTTAACATTAGGACCTTAATGTTCCAACCTGTTACCCTTACCTGCTGATTCGGTACCTTCTCAAAGGAAGTTTCGAGGAATGTCCTACAGTACGTTTACTGCTCCTCTTGGAACATGTACCCCTTTATCCCTCCGTCCTCTGTGAAACTGGCAACAACATACACTGTGCTGCCTATAGAGACCAAGCCGAGTCTGGGTGTCCCCAACGAGAGGGAGGGGGGTCTCTCCTAGATGCCTCAGTTGGAGTCCAGCACTCTGGCTTTGGGTCCTGTAGTCAACAGCAGCTCTGCAACATGTCACACCATTCTGTCATCCTTGTCTTTTCTCCCCCCAAGCTTTTGTTCTCTTAGGCTCTTTTGAAAGTCACGTTTACTTTCTTCACATATGGGAAGTATTTTTGACCAAAACTAAAAACCCTAATGTGTTCCTTGGCAAAATGATTGGCTGAGCAAGCCTGGCTTCAACTTGAAAGGAAAGCTTTCAGTAGGCAACTAAACAAAACAAAAACCCCACAAACCACTCTGGCCACACCGTAATTCTTACTCATAAAAGCTGAATTTACTTATGCTTTACATGTGTGCATTAAATAAAGCACCCTTTTCCAGTGCAAGAAGGTGAGTATTGGAGTCATTAAAATTTTTATTATTGAGCTACACATGGTTTATAGAAATCCATAGAGACGTTTACATTTTCCTAAAACACTGGCTTCATAGTAGGAACCAGAATTATTTTTTTAGATATTAACCCTCTAGCCAGGTGGCACAAAGAGAACACTGTAGAAACTATTTGCAGCATGCCTATTATCCGTCAGGCACTGAGTTTGGGGCTTTGCACAGTTCTTTCCCTGAATCCTTACCACCAACCTCAGGAGGCAGGGAGCAGGGTCACCCCACTGACAGAGGGGGAGACTGAGGGCCAGAGGTTTAGTGTCTTGCCCGAAGTCTTTCAGCCCTTGTCACAGGCTGCTCCTCACTGCTGAGAGGCCAGAGGATTTCTAGGGTTCCCATCTTCCTTGCCTTATCTCTGTGTGTTTTCCTTCTTCCGTAAAGCAGTGGGAACCCTAAGTCAGGTTTGTATGGATATGCGTTGCCTGAGAGAATGACCAGCACCCAGAGCTGTAACTAAAGAGCAGTTGGTGGGGCAGTTCCTCTCCAGCTGATACAAGAGGGCAACCCCCAAAGCTTTGAACCGGGACAGACCTGTCTCTCCTATCACCTGAGAGATTCCAGGCTAGTTGTTTATCTTCTCTGAGCCTCAACTTTCTCAACTGGAATGTGAGGTTAATGCTGACTACCTCTCAGCGATGCCGTAAGGACTGGAGAGAAAGAATATACAGGAAGGACTCGGGCAATGGTTGGTACTGACGCCCTGTCATACCTCTGTGTTCTTAGCCATGCGTAGCGACTGCATTCACTGCTGCATTGCATGAGCAGGCCCAGGCCTGCCCCAGGTTCTGAGATGGTGCCCATCAGATTTAGTAGTGTGAGCCTGTCTGACCATCCCAACATCTTGCCTTGCCCAGATCTTGCTATACTTGGCTCCTCCTCAGATGCTAAATTCAACTCCCCAATCCTTCTAATCCCCAGCCTGAGCTTTGACTGGGGCCTCGGTGAATGAATGGGGCTTCCTCCTATGGCTGGATTGGATTCACACACCTGCCACCTTCATCCTAGACCACACCTAGACCCAAGATCTTTATATCCTTTCAATACTGTTGAATGCATTATAGAGCTGCCCTTTGCAACTGGATGTGATAGTCCCCTCCTACTCAATTATTATTCTGAGCATCTTCTAGATGTCAGGCCTCACAAAAAGATAAACATGCTTTATGGGAATTATTTCATTTAATCTTCATTATGACCCATAAAAGTAAAGTAGTTACCTTCATTTTCAAAATGAGGAGACTGAGGCTTAGGAAGATTAGGGACTTTTCTCCAAGCCACATCGCTAGTAAGAGGTAAAGCCAGGTCTAGAAAGCCAAGCCAGGGCTCACAGCCATTGTGCCATGTTGCTCTGCATCCCACCTGTCAACCTTCACTGCTGCCTCCTTTGCTGACTGCTTGACATATTCTGTAGCAGCAGCTGCCTTCTCTTATTGCAGTACCGCTCATGATGTGCCGTCGTCGTCGATTTGCTTGTTTCCATCTCTCATCAGACTGGGGGCTCCCTGAGGGCAATGGCGTGTCTTATTTATCCCTGTATCCCAGTGCTCACCTCAGCACTTGGCACGGAATCAGGATTCCAAAGGATTTTTGTTGACTGAGTTGTACTGGTTTTCTCTTTTCTACCTGCTGACTTACGTCGCTGATGTCTCATATACTCTCTACCCCAAATCATCTGGGTTATGACAGCTTTAGAATCAACGTCAGCATTTATTCTTGGGTTTGAAATGGTGTGATGTGTGTGTGTGTACACATGCATATGTGTGTTGTGGTTATTAGCTAAAGCAATGGTTTTTCTACAATAAAAGCTTTAAGCCATCCTGTTTCTTCAGTTTCCTTTCATCTGGAAACTTTCCATAGCCTTTCTTTGTCTTTACAGCATAGACTTTGTGGAAGAATACAGTTCACTAAAAAAACAGAATGCTGCCCACTTTGGGTTTGTCTGATGTTTCCTCATGATTGGATTCGGGCTCTGCACTGCCAGCCACAGCAATGCCGTGTCCTACCCGGGGCGTCACATCTGGAAGCACGTGACGTTCATCTTCCCAGCTGAAGTTAATTTTAATCACCTAATCAAGATGTTGTCTTGTTTCTTCCCTGTACAGTTAACATTCTCTTTTCTCTTATAACTCATAAACAATCTGTGAGGAGACATTTTAAGAACATGCATACATCCTGTTACTCATCAAAAGTCCCTCCTGGATCCCCTGACGATTCCTGCCTGTACCTATATCTTCAACACGATGATTGCAAGATGACGATTTTGCAATTCCATGCAATATCTGATTCTAGACTGGATCCTGTACGAGAAGGAAAAAGTGCCAGAAAGGACATATTGAGTTACTGACAAAACTGGAAGATGAATGGCAGATTAAACAAAAGTGCTATATAAAAGTGAAATTTACTAAAATTTACTCTCAAGTGACTCCTAAAAAATGTGTGTGTACAGAGAGAGAACATGCAGGCAATAAAGCAAATGAGGTAAAATGTTAAAACATAAAAGTTAGGTAATTGGCTGTTCCTTGTATAATTCTTATTTTTGCAGCTTTCCTGTAAGTTTGAAATTATTTCCAAAAAAAAGTGAACAGCAGCTTTTAGCCGCTTGTAGAATAAACATTAGATGTCCTACCTAAAGCAATGGTTTCCTTTAATGCCTGACATTGAATTGATTAGCGAGCACAGGTTCCCCTGCACTGAATGATCCCTGAGATCTAATTCTACAGGAGACCCTCTGATCCCACACCAAACTCCCACCTGCATGATGGTGCCCATGGAGACTGCCAAGTACATAATGGAGGGACTCTGAAATGGAAGGCTCTAGTTATGGTTGCAAATGTCTTGGTTTTCTTTATTAAAAGACAATACAGCATGATACAATGATACCTAAAGGTTCTGAATATAAGATGAAATGACAGAGGTCTGCAGTTCAATGCCAGAAAACCTTCTGCCACTGGCACTGGTCAGTCCCTGTTCATGATCGCTGCATACTCCTTCTGGTGTTAGAATTTGTGCATGGTAGTCTGTTATGATCGCTGCATACTCCTTCTGGTGTTCAACCAGCTTCAGGAATACTTGATACTTCTTGTCATAATACCTGTGGGAAACAAATGAATATGTTAAGTGATCTCAGACAAACTCTTACGCAGCTTCCCCTTACATTTAGAATGCAACTATATCTGTTATGGTTTTCCAGACACCCCCATTTTTTTCAATGCTTATAGTTTCCTGAGCAATGGTCATTATTATCTCTAGTATCTCTGACCTACATAGAGTGTTATCATCTTGATTTTATGAGTAAGGACATTTGCTCAGAAAGGTGTATCTAAGTAGTATAAAAATTAGCAGGGCTGGAATGGACACTCAGGTCTGTCTGACTTCACAGCCTCTTCTGTAATGTACTGAAGGTCTCTGGACCTTTCACATTTCCAGCTTCAACAAATATTTCATACATGGCCAGCCCCAGGTTTGACAACTGGTTTACAACCACAGCCTCACCAGGGACAAGACTAAACATCTGAATTGCCCTTTGCAGATTCCATACCTCCATTTCCTTTGCAGACTGTTTTATCTGGGAATCAAACCCCATGAAAATGTGACTAATGCCTTTCCCGCGGCTGTGCCCCACTTCCCAGGCAATCCCATAGTAGACCTGGCCCTCCCTGTCCTCTTCAGCTGACTCTCCAGGGGAAACCTCTCAGAACCTGGTGTTGGCGATGAGTCAGACGGCCTCACTCCTCCTGCTTGGGAGGAGCTGACATGGGGTGAGGAGGGGTTGGTGAAGCCAGGTTAGCATGTCTTGGTAGATTCTTGGATGTTCTGAAAGGAAGTCTGCATGAGGGATCTTTGGTGCAAGCTCGTTAATTGGGGGAGAAAGGTTATAAGAACAGCTCTGCAACTTCTGCTTGAAAACATCCTGAATAGATTAACAGGAGTTCCCTCCCCACAAGCATTTCTACTTTAAGCATCATGGTAACTCAGGGCTGCACAGGGCCAAACCCAGCTTTAAGAGGCAGACTCCAAAGCCTGGGTTTGAATCGCAGCTTGCTCTGTCACTTGCTCTATCACACAGCTGAGTGACCTGGGATATGTTACTTAATCTGTTTGTGCCTAAATTTCTCCATTTGTAAATGATAATTATAGGATCTATCTGAAGAGCTGTAGCGTGAATTAAATGAGGTAATCTATGAAAAGCACTTAGAATACTGCCTGGCTCATACTAAGTGGTATCAGTGCTGGTTAAGGTAAGTACTTTTAAAAAAAATTAATATTCCAATATTATTAATCTAGATATATGTGGGTTCTACTAAAACCCACTCTGTGAGTCTCTCAATTTATAAATTATAGAATGATTTTGGAAATAGCAATTTTCTTCTTTTAATGACACTCTATGACAATTTAATGCTAAGCAATTCTTTCATTCTATGAGATGGACTTCCTAACTTGGGATTCTTGAAACTGCAACAAGGGAGCTTCTCATGTACTTGAAGACATCCAATTTTAATACTGGTGACTTGGCAGCAACTTTGTTGGCCTCATTCTTTGTACAGTGGAAAAACATTGGCTTTGTGGGCAGAGAAACCTGGATGACTTTGAGCAACTTAAAAAAATTGTCTGAGCCTCAGTTTCTCTGATGTAAGACAGTAACAAAAATCTTAAGCAAAATAATCAACAAGATATACCCCATGAGCTAATAAATGTGAACTAATGTCTTACATAGTTTTATTATCCTAGAATACCAAGAGATGGATGTTTTTCCTTTTTCACACACAGGAAGCGGAGGTCCAAACCATGTTTTTTCTCTGTGCTTTTTATTCATTTGTTTTACTTTGGTAAAATACACAGAACGTGAAATTTGCCACTTTAACCATTTTTAAGTGTATGGTGTAGTGGCATTAAGAACACTCACATTATTTATTGTGCAACCATCACCACCATCCGTCCACAGAACTCTTCTCATCTTCGAAACTGAAACTCCATCCCATTAGACAATAATCCCCACTTCCTGCTCGCCCCAGCCTCTGGCAACCACATTCTACTTTCTGTCTCTATAATTTTGACTACTCTAATTATCTCAGAGAAGTGGAATCATACAGTATCTGTCTTTTTGTGATGGGCTTACTCCTTTAAAGTAATGTCCTCGAGGTTTGTCCACGTTGTGGCATATGTCAGACTCATTCCTTTGTAAGAATGAAACAAAACATATTTTGTTTGCCCATCATGAATGGATGCTTGAGTTACTTCTCTGTTTTAGCTACTGTGAATTATGCTGCTATGAACATGGTTCATCTCTTTGAACCCCAGCTTTCAGTTCTTTACCCAGAAATGGAATTTCTGAACTGTATAATAATTCTACTTTTCCCTTTTAATTGAGTTTATTGGGGTGACACTGGTTAACAAAATCATACAGGTTTCAGATGCACAATTCTACAACACATCATCTGTGTACTGTATTGTGTGTTCGCCATCCCAAGTCAAGTGGTAATTCTATTTTTAATTTTTGAGGAACCACCATACTATTTTCCACAGTGGCCACACCATTTTTATTTATACAAATAGTGTGCAGGTTTCCAGCTGCCCCAGATCTTTGTCAACACTTGGTATATATAGAGATATTTTGATAGTTCCCATCACAAAGAGTATGAGGTGGTTTCTCATATTTTTGATTTGCATTTCCTGAATGACTAGACATATTGAGCATTTTTCATACATTCATAACCCATATATTCTTTGGAAAAATGTCTATTCAAGTCCTTTGCCACTTTTTATTTGAGTTGTTTATTTTTGTTGTTGTGTTTTAAAAGTTCTCTAAATATTCTGGATATTAATCCTTTATCAGATACATGATATACAAATATTTTTTCTCATTCTGTGGGATGCTTTTTTATTCTGTTAATTCCTTTGGATGAAAAAAATTCCTAGGGCACTTTGAATAAACTGCTCTAAGATCACAGATAAATTTGGATGAGGTTTGGGGTCATCTTAAAAGGTATATTGAACCATAGTCACTAGATTATGCTTTCTGGGATCCTGACTTTTAAAATCAAGTGAATTCTCCCCACACTCAGTCAGTTGATTTTGTGTGGTACAGACCTAAGTACATGTTCCTTACAGATAACAATGTGATTTGAGACAAGGTGGAGATGTGAGAGTCAGTCGTAGGGAAACTGGCTCACTTTCTACTTGCAGATCTTCAGGCAGCCTGCAGATGGTGCTAGAGTACTGTGTGAGCCTCCTCCACAAAGGTTTCCCAGCAGACAGCAAGAAGCTAAGGATTCCTTGCAAAACGAGCCCATGAATTTATTGCAAGAACTTAAAAACAGACTCCCCTCAAAAGTCTTGAGAGGGTCAGAGAAGACATAGGGAAGAATAATCTGTTTCTAATTTCAACAAAAGAGAGATGCAGCCAGCCCATGGCTGCCCTATATGGGATCTCAGATCTCTCACTGTTCCCGAGTTGTGCTCCCAGCGTTGGTCCTCTCAGCCCTGTATTTAGAGAGGGGTTTCTATTTACAGGGGCTAACAGCCCAACTTCATTTGGAGACCTTCTTTAAGATAATAAACATAAATTAGATTACTTTGTCCATGGATATTTCCAACTGTGTCGAATACTGGCTGTGCTTTGGTGGGGTCAGCAGCTTTGTCTGTCCATTACACAAGGTGAATTTTGCTTTTAAGTCTCAACCTCAAATACTTTTCAAAAATTATAAAAGGCCCCTCGCACACTGTTCTTTCATCTTTAAACTGACTACCCATGACTTAGTAGATCTTTTTCATCTGTCACCTGCATTTTTGACAAAGCCTTCCATCTGATCTCTTTGCTTCTACCCTTAGGTCCTTTGATTCATCCTCTAAGAGGAATCTTCCTAAAATCTGCATCTGATTGGGTCTGACCACTGCAAATTTGGTATCTCCATTCTGACTGCAGGATAAAGTCTGAAAACTGCCCGAGAGGTGAGCCTGCCTACTCCCTCACATACTTCACATTTCAGAATGATGAGCTGTTTATGGTTACCTGACATACTGGGCTGCTCTCACCTTTATAACTTTGCCTGTCATTCCTTCTACTTGTCTTGTCCTATCTGACAATTTTTTAAAAGCATTTAAAAAGTCAGTTACACTTAATCTCTTCTCACCTCCTGCAGGGTCACATTCCTTAATTCCTTGGACTGCTATGTAGAACTTACCCCTTTGTTCTGAAATGATCTTTGTGCATAAGTAATATTGTATCTTATTCCTCTCTAAATCTAAGGCCAGTAAGCATGATGCTTTGAATATACTAGGAGCTCAATAAATTAGTGATTTGTGACTTGGGGTTAAAATACCAATCAAGGTCATGATATAGCCCTCAATGCCAAGTGATGCAAAGGGTGAAAGAATGGACAGATGCTTCTCTGTCCTCTGATGGAAGATACGAGAGATTCATGTTTCAGAACAGAGGAGGCCAGACATGCTGCTAATGGCCCAGGCAAAAGAACATGGTCTCAGCATTCAGAAGTCTCTATTTGACTCCCAGGTCTGGTCCTAACCAGCTTTGCGATCAAAGGTAACTGAAAGTGACTTTATATCTCTGGGACTTAGTTTTATTAACTATTAAATGAAAGGACTGGATTAGCTGACCTCCGAGGTTTATTCCAGCTCTTAGAGTTGCGTGTGTTTATATGCTTTCATTCCTTAGCACTGTGAGTATAAAAAATATAAACTTACCTTTTATCCTCAAGTCTGGGAAACACAACTTCCCCAACTTTGCTCATTCTTGCCATGGCCTCCTGTAAAAAAGAACAGAGTTGGAAAGCTAAAACAAAAGTGAGGCTTGTCCCAGGCAAGAGATTCTAATTAGAATTCATTTCCCATTAACATATTCAGTTGGTCCACTTTTTTCAACTTATTTTCTCTGGTAATGGGAATAAAGCCCCAACAAACAGTGAAAGTTTTATCTATGAGCACAAAGCCCGGGCTTAATAAATGGTTGTGTGTTGAGGCCTCCAGGGGACAGACAGCCCAGAAGGTAAAGTTTCTGTGATCACTTGCAGGGAATGGTGGGAGAGAATTATTTCCCCTTCTCATTGCCTGGACACCTGTGCTTAAGAAGGCAACATAATCAGCCACTGAGCACCTTGTCTACTTAAGACAACAATAACTGAATGGAACTCACTTTGCACCTGCACTATAGGATACAACATTTAGGCCCCTTCATTTCACCTTTGTTTTTTTTCCCCCAGCAGTCTGAAATTGTGAGTACTGACACATGACCTCTGGGTAGGAAAAGCTGACTTTAGTTCCAGAATGTGACTTTAGAACATGCTTGTCTTTACAGCGGAGCAATCAGGCAGACGGTGAATGGCAGCGTCTGGGTGGACATGGTCTAGCGTGTACAGCATCAACATCAACCACAGATTGTGTTGGCTCCATTATGCAACTGAAATGGTTAGGTTTCTGTGGGCAGGCTCCCGGTGCTGTTAAAGCTATGGGAAAGTTAAGGAGAATGGAGTGAACCCACACTTTGGAGTCCAGGAGACTTGACTGGGGAGATTGCGAGTAATAGCATGACAAAGGTCCTCAGAATAGGCCCTGTCTTAGGGACAGCTACTGAAATCTTATTATTAAGAATGTAGTCATTCTGAGGTCACACATGCACCACTTCTTATTTCACATATTTATTAATTACTCACTATGTACCAGACACTGTGCTGGGGACACAGACTTGCATAAAACATGCTCTTTGTCCTAGGGAAACTTTACGTGCTAGCAGGGTGTGGGAAGATGTAAAAAGCTAACTACCACACAGAATTTGAGGGACCCTGGGCATCTTCTAAACACATCCAAGTGGCCCCTGCTCATCCTTGCCACCTGTGATTGTTATACTCACACACACAGACACACACACTCACACATTTATTATTTATCATTAAGTGCCTTCTGACATGCTATGTATTTACTGGTTCATGTGTGCCTTATCTGCCTTCTCCAGTCCTTACCCTAACCAGAATATAAGCTACATGAGGCCAGGGCTTTTCTGTTTGCTTCTTAATCTCAGCACCTAGAATATTCATAAAACATATCAAGCCCCTTCCCTGGGCCAAGCACAGCACTCATGTATATACAGAATACAGAGATGGGTCCTTTCATCAAGAAGCTCATCGTAGAATGAAAAAGACATTTACCATGATCAAAATGGAATGTGATAAATCTATGTTGAAAGCAGATAAACTTCTTTTTAATAGTTATTTAAGAGTTAGGAAATGGGAAAACTTCTTCATCTGCTAATCACTTATGCAGATCTCCACTCATGTGGGATGCCCTACCAACTCTTCCCCAAGGATGGCAAGAACATTCAGAAGTAGCTATCTGCCCTCAGTGGATTTAAAAGTGCTGAGTGGGGCAGATGAGGGACGCTCAGAGCAGTGAGCGCATGGACGGCAGAAAGGCAATGGCAGCCCTAAGTAAGGAGGGAACTTTGCAAATTATTTAAAAATTATTGAAAACAAAATTATGGAGAAAGGACAAAACTGAAAAAGGGCTGCCTGGGGCCATTTTGTGAGGGGGCAAATAGTCACTTATGCCTGAGTAAGATCACTGGCCTCCCACTTACCAAGGATATTTTAAGGGCTCTGTTCACCCCAACATGTGTCAGAACATTTTCCTTCATAGACTAAGTCCTGAGTCCCTTAAAGTAAATCCTCTGTCTTGCTAAGATGTCCTCAGCAATGCCGACGGCTAACCTCCCACTTACTCGCCCGTCTTGCCCTCGCTTCATCCTTTAGAGCCCGGCTCTGCTGTGATTTAGGGAGGACCCCCTCTTCTCCCTCTCCTAACTCTTGAAAGTACCCTCAGGGAATTCTTCTTCTTGGTCAAGCTTGGGCCTCAGGCTAGAGACAGCTGTCCGGCACTGTTCCCATGGGTGGGACCCAGGAAATTTGTATCGCAGAAGGTCCCCACTTAACTGCTGTGTGGAACAGGCAGACCTGGAATTCCTTCTTCCTTTCTTCACACCACTTCTGCTTGTTTTTGAGAAACACCAGCAACAGATTTCAAAGGTTTTAAAAGAGGTTATTTTGTTTCTCAAAAAAGCACAGAATTGAGCATTGAACTTGGCTCAGCTATCTACTCCACGGAGATTTTTTCTGACTCATCCTGCTACCTGCCTCCTTCCTAGACTGAGGTTTCTGCTCCCATAGCAACTTGTGCTTTCGGCCATCATGACACGGCTCTGCGGTTTTCGGTTAGCACGCCAGTCTCCCCAGTTACACTGCGAGCTCCTAAAAGACAGGAACTGTCACAGTTATTTCCATGGCCAAACTCGGCATCTCGTATAGGGTACACATTTGGGGAAAGGATGTGATGGATGAACTTAGAGATCATACATGTGACAGAACGCTCAAATAGAAGTTTTGGCGGAGATCTAAGAATGATAGACATAAGACACCAAAGTGAGCTGGGAAAAGGCCACCCTGAAGATTTTGAAAAAGGGGTCGTCAAGGACCCATGAATCAACTCTTAAACCTTTCATTCACATGGAGAGTCAGAAAAAGAGCTGGATTTTTAGGAGACAGCTGTTGGTTTATTGTGCATCAGGCCTCCTTCTAGGGAAGGGCTCAGAGGAGTCTCCCCCTTCATAAGTCAAGAGAAGCAGGGCTTCTCGGAGACCAACAGGGAACTTGCTGGGACACAGTGGACTGGGTGTGACTTCTGTCTGTAAGAAAAAGGCTGGTTGGTGCTTCAGTGTCGAAGTGAAGGGACGGTTGCACCAGGGTCAGCCAGCACTGCCAGAGTCTGTCAGACTCCAAAAGGCATGACTGTTTCCCGCAGACCCTACCCTGGCTCATGTGTGAAAGGGCTGTCATGGGTTGTCTTAGATACTGTCCGATGTGGACACCTGCTGAGGCAGAGAACAAGTCTGCACAAAGAAGCTTGAGAAAAACTACTGGATTCCCAGAGGCTCAAGAGAAGAGTAAGCCTTCTACTAGAATAGAGAAGCATTAACAAGGACAAGACACTCATTTCCAGAAGTGGGGGTCCCCCTGGAAAATCTATGATGGAGCCTATAAACACCCATTAGGCCAAGAGAGCATGAAGCCCATTGATGACAAGGATGATTAAAGAACTTTCCTACACCCCCAGCCTCTCTTCGCTGACACCCTCCAACCGCCTCAGAGGAATAAGGAAAGGTAACATGCTGGAAAGAAAGTGAACGAGGAAGAAAGAAGACCGATCACAGCCACCTCCTCTCATTTGAAACAGACCCAGCTGGGGGAGTGGAGAGATAGCTCATCTTTACGTGATAATTGAAGCCATGATTATTGTGTGTTCCTTGACATTCTAATTTTTGAATTTTGGCTATGTCTTATAACTTAAGGGATCATAAAACTTGTATTATCTAAGTGACTTTGTATATACCCAAGAAAGTAGTGGAACCATCAGAATTTTTAACCAAGGCAGAGAAAAAATAGCTGCAAAAATGTAAAAGGGCAGTGGGAACACAAAACACAGCTGCCTCTCAAGTTTATCTCAAGAACTGTGTTTGTTTATATGTGTGCACAATAAACATTGGACCAACATATATTAAAATGTTAACAGGTTCAAGAGCATGGGTAATCTGGGTAATTTTTTCTCTCTCTTTGTGTGTGTGTGTGTGTTCTCTACATTTTCTACAGTGGCATATAGTGGTTTGGTAGTTTTAAGGAAAATAAAAATATACTATCTTCTAAAAAAAAGTCATGCTTACAGGCAGTCAGGATGGCTCGTGCTCACTCTCCTCTCTCCTGGGGGGCAGGACTCATCACGGGCATTTGACACAATAAGGAGACTGCCCAGAGAACCAGTGCTGTCACCAGAAATAGCACTGCTGAGTTTTCTAATTTCTCCAAATAATTAACATAAAACAGAAACCTCGTGAACCCACTGGCTGCAATAAATCTGGAAATTACCACAGCATAACAATACCGATTTATTATGGAAATGCTGACACGTGCTAAATATAGTCACCCCTCCCCCTCAGTATATTTCTGTTCAAAAGGGTCTATTTGAAGTTGGCCTCAAATTTCATACTTTTTGTCAGCAGCAGGAGCCGGACAATCTTAATTTGCAGCACGCTACCTCTTTGTTTGAGAGTCTAGACGGCACAATGAATGCAGTGACTTTTCTCTTTCCTTTTTGCCCACACAATGAAAGCTTTTTAAAAAACAAAATATTTTGTAAAATCGCATTTTAATCACTTCTTTTCTTTCTCTAAGGCAGAGCTATAAATAAACCATGAAAGTTCACATTTGATCGTTACTTCTGAAAGCAAGTGAAGGGTTTCTGTAGGGAAAAAATAGGGGCCCTGTGCCATGGCCATGAAAGGAGCCATTGATGGGTTGTGACCCTTCCCTGCTGGGTCAAGGCCGAGCTCCCAGTCTGCACACACTGCTTACCACTTCTCTGGGAGCCGCGTTGGCGATCACCAGGCCTTTGTGGGCACGGGAAACACCCACTTCTCATGCATATGGTCTGGTTTGGGAGCTACCAAAGAGGGCCTTAGGCTGCACTGGGGTGAGTGACTACAGAAATTAGGTTACAAAAAAGAAGGGCTCCTCAGTACCCATGGAGAAGATGAGGACTGCGTAGGTGGCAGGCACACTAACCCGGGGATTGGAGAACCTGGTACCTTCTCTCCACCCCAGGGGAAGAGGAACAATGGCCTTAAGGCATTAAGAAGACTATTGGGAAGTCTAGACTTAGGCACCAAAGGGCACCACAAGCCTGGCAGTGTCCAGAGACGCAAACTACA